CCGGATATCGGCTATTCGTTCTCTCACTTTGGTGCGAAAACACCGCCACGAGAAGGCAGTGAGTAGGGCTTCCTCAGCAGAGGCTATTTGAGACGCTTCGTCGTATGGGAGCATTTCACGAGGTGCAAGGAAGGGCGACCAGCCGCAACCCTAGACACCCACCCCCGATCATACTAAGGCTTTTGGAGGGTGGGGTGGGTTAGCACAAACTACCAACTGCGCCGTCATGGTTATGGTGAAGTACGTTGAGGAATTAATTTGGGTAGGTACCTCGTCTCCCAGATGAGGATCCAAAAGTTAACATGTGGTCGATTGGAGACACTGATTGACATGACTGTCTACTGATAGCAGTGGCGTGCTTGTTGTCGTTTTTACCGGATCCAGATACCCGAAGAGGTCTGTGTGCATAGTTAGATTTCGCTCTGTGTTGACTACAGAGGTTTATTTTATGTTCCCTTCCTATCAGCTTCACTTTCCATCCACATTCACATTCGTACTTTGTGTATATTGTGATGATGACGATGCGCGCAGTGAGTGCGCTGCAAGTAACTTGCGGATCAAACATCCTTCACACGGATCTCCCTCGTTCTGGGTGCCCCCTACGCTATTAACCAGTCCAGCTGATAAGCGTAAAACCAGTTATCCCATAGCCCGTTCAAAGATCCTAATACAAGAGATTAAAATCAAGGAACTGTCAAATCTGCTAAAGGTGCTAATCTTCAATGGCTTATCAGCCCGGTTATGGTTCCTAAGATTGGTCTCCCGACTTTTTATCTTCGTGAAGTGAAATATTTTGGAAAGATCCCGGAACTGTGAACTCCGTTTCTCAGCAAAGTCAGCCGTATCGGGACTTAGTTTATGGTACATGAATACATCAGAAATTGACCAGAAAGCGCCTGGTTCGTTTTGGTTGCCTCGAGATCGTTTCACTGTTGTTTTTATTTGTGGAATAAAATCCTCTCATTATCTCTTGGGAACCGAGACCTAGCCACTCAAAAGCTGCTAACATACGCGAGTTACTCGAGCAGTAGCCGAAGTCGAAACAAAAGTTTCCTCGGATGACCCAATCACTGAGAGTGAAGGAAGCTCTGTTCTCGCCCCGGGAAATGCTCAAACGATGCGTGTCTCCGAAGTTCTACTCACTGTCTTCCCACGTTTACAGTGTGTTCACTTTAGTGAGAGCATGAAAAGGAATAAGGGCTAAAACGAAGTTGCTAAACGGCGGGCTTCTAGTGAATCTAAGGTGATGGAAAATCCTAATTTCAAATCTCCAAAGAAGATATTTATACGCTAGCTCAAGGCGTTATTTCCATGACTACCGGCTCGATGGGGTGATAGGATGTTTTTGGGTACTCTGGATTTGTAAGCCTCATCTGAATGGTGCAAAATTTGTTCAACTAGATAGGGGCCCTGGTATTCATACGCCGCACTGCTGCCTTGCCGGTTAATCTTTGGCTATTGCATTGCTCCAGTTGTGAATCCTTAGGTACATCACTTGCTTAGTTTTGGACAACCCGACATCACCGCACTCACATTCATTCTTGCACCGAAACAATTCTGTCAGTTTTAACCCAGGGAAGAGTTGATAGTGCTCGTACCGTTTGGCCACAGCTCCTCAGTAGTATCTGGTTTCTTTCGAATCAAGCCTAACTGACGGGGGTTAGTTTCGAGTCAATATCCCGCTTCGTATCACTATAGATACAGCACAGCCTTCTTTACCACTTTTGAGAGAAAAGTTCACATTGTTTTTCACATTTCCTCCTTTCATTCATGGTTCTAACAAAACTAAATGTTGTGAGTGAATCCTCTTGTAACGAGGTGTTTTGTCTCATACCCGCGGGGACTCGGATTACAATTTTTTTCTCTCATGAAATAAAATAAAATAATAGTTACAGCAAAATACTTAATTTCAAAAAATGAAAAATCTCTTATTAGCTAGATACTGTTGTAAACTTGACCTTTTATGAGATCCATTGTGATCTACACCTCGCTAAAAAGGAACAAAAACTGCTGGTTAATAGTTGTGTGAGCATGTGAACGCTTGTTTTCTCTGTGTTCCTTACATGGATAGACATTTATTTACCTAGTTTAAGATTAACTGAGAGGGTGATTTTGGGACATTTGAACAGGAAAGGAAGTGTAGCGCTACAATAAAAAAATTAAGATGCAGAGTTCCACTGGCGCATGAGATTCTCTTTATNTCTCTTTATGAAGTAACTAACGTGTGGGTTTTTAAGACGGAAATCGGAAAAAATTGCGGATTAGCAGTACGTCCATTGAAGTAAGTTGCAATCGTTTTCAAAGCGTGGGAGGCAAGACTAAGATCCACACGCATGTCCTCATCTTGACATTTGAAAGCATAATTATTGCATTCTTTAAACGTTTTGTCGGTATGAGAAGACCGTGTAAGCTCCTGGAATATAGTAACCCCAGGGTAATTGACATTTTGTATATAACACAATGTAGCGAACAAGACTTGTTTTCAGTGGTTTATCTTCTTTGGCTGATACATCACAATTTATATTTATTCCGATGAACTACGGGAGGGCAGGGATATTACTTACAAAAAACTACAATAATAAATTAATAAACTTGAAGCAATATAGATAATGTCTGCTGTCTCTGGTGTGGTGTAATTGACATTGCTAACTGCATGGACGCATTTACCAGCGCTGCGTGACCCGAATCATTTACGTTCTGTTTCTGCCAAGTGTTCTTCCTTAGCACGTGAAACTATGGTGTCACTACAATTGAGAAGCTTTAATGGATACCGAGGTGGAGGACAACCAATCCAAAATATGTGGTATAGAAGATTGAGGTTATTTTTCTGTGAAGTGATATACACGGGGTCCATGACGCTTCCTTAGGTTGTTCCATAGCTTTAAACGGCTTGAGCTCCTGAGCTGGGTGTTGTCCCAGTTTCTTTGTTGGTCTGTCCCCGGAATTCTGATTAGCACGGCAATGGTCTCCCTTGTAGCCTCTCTTGCCATATTTCTGGCAGATATGCTTCTTAAATGAACAAAATGCCACTCACCGCATTGCCAACATGCGGTTGGAGGTCTGTTTGATGCTGGTTCTTTGGGTCTGTTCCAAGGCATTGACTTGGTGACTTAGTGACTTAGTTCTGGCGCGCCCCACAATAGCTGAATTATGCTTCAAAGTCTTCAGCCTCTGACACTCGGTTGTCAGTGTCCGTGGCATTAGAATCTTGTTCAATCATCTCCGCTTCCTGAGACGGTTGGAGTCCGCAAACGAAAATGAGACACTTAAACTGGCCTTCTATCATCGCCCGCCGTTTGAAGCGTTCGCACTCCCGATTCACCATACAGGAATACGTGGTAAAATCAACGGAGTCTCTTTTCACGACCCTCATGCACTGATATATTGTGTTGAACAAAGTTAACTTCACGCCAAACGTATCTGTGAGCAACCACATTGTATCGTCAAATCGAAATTCTCACGTGCTTTTAGGTAGAATACCATCTGCATACCGCTCCTGTTCTGTGGTACTCAGTTTACGTAAAAGTATCGGTACCTTCCATGCATCATCCAGGACGGAAAATTCCACCCAGAATGTATCCTTCCATCGTCTGAACCACAATTCGAAGTTTATAACTGCTTCTGTGTCGTAATGGAATTCGGTCATACTGGCCGTGAACAAGTCAGCAGAACTTGATTGAAGAGCAGCACCAACAGGATCGGCCGACTGCAACTTGAACAATCTCAGCATTGTATCCATCAGTTTCAAATGCACCGCATCAAATTGTGCCCGGGCGTTTTGCAGGATTGCTTGCAGATCGCTTCCTGAGATTACCATATTTGGATTCGACAGAAATTGACCCCGTTGGCAAATTGTTTTAACCACACATGATTGAACTGACTGAACTGGATTCTCAAAAGATCGTCTTTCGGTAATGTTTCTCATCTATAGAAGAACTTCACTAGCAGTGAAGTAGAACACAGCTGGAAACGTGTGGGACTTCTTTTATTGTGCAAAACCATGCTTATTCATAGAAAAGATCGGGGACAGGGGAATGCATATAGTAGACAGCTTTGCTGTCGCCGGGTTTTATACCACGCCTGACCTAGCGGTGCTTTATGTGGTTCGCCATTCCAAGTCCCGGGGCTTAGGTTGCCGGTTACTATCACTGAACAGGAGGTCTTCGTGACTATGGGGTTCCACACCCTCTGTTGTCTATCACACACCGGTGTGTAATCTTCTTTCTTTACTACGGCTGGCTTACAAAGGATAAGCCGGCTCCATGAATGTCTCTGATTGCCGCCGCAGAAGACATGATCATAAAGTTACTTGGCAGTTTTGTACGAGTTTTGTATGGCGTGTAATAAAAAATATCAAACGATTGGTTGAGTGGATTGCTGTCAACTGTCTTGAATGGTCGGTGGTTCCGGTCAATCATCTGAGTTCGCCTATCGTTGTTCTGATTGGTTGTCACAGAACAGCAGTTTTCCTGTGGGCCATCTTGGTGCTTGACACGGGTATGTACATCATGAAACATGAATTAGTTTTAATAAAACAGCTGAATTCAAACCTTTGAGATGAAGTGGTTCTTAAGTCTTGACTATATGAAGCTTTTTGTAATCCACCTTGTAAAGATAAAGTAGTCTCCTGATTAACCTTTAGTTGATCTAACGAATAAAACAACTTTTTATTGCACATGGAATTTCATGTCAGTAGTTTGAACGGTTTTGCTTGATGTGTTCTTTACTGTATTGGGTGCAGATCTTAATCATGTTTTGTCGACCAAACCACGTTTTTATTTTCTTACCGAATCGCTTTCTTCCGTCTATGAATTACTGTTACAGTTCTTGTCGTTCAGTCTTTCTCTCGGATCGTGAATTGTTTTCGACTTCGCTGGGACTCGATAGCTTAAGTGCGCAACTAACGTTCAAACTTATGGCTATCAGCCATGTTGAAATTGTTCAGTCGTTCTCTCATCGCTCTCCTTACCCTTTCAGCCGACTTGACAGGTCTCCGACTTCTCGTCGAACGCATGAGACTCGTGCACGATCTCCATCACTCACCCCGCCGCGGGTTCGTGACACATCATCTCGTTTGCGTTCTGGCGTGAACGCGGAATCAGGTCACGCATCATATCGTCTTCGTCAGCCCGAAATACAGTCTACTGTGCATCCGGTGTCCGAGTCGTTTTTCGACATGTCCACCTTTGTTATGAGCCATCCGAGTCCGCCATCACTTCCCCTCACTGAACGTTTTGATCGTCTGACAAACGCGGGTACAGCCGTCTACAACGGTCGCTCATACAAACGACCAAATGATAGTCGACATATTCCCCACCTAATCATCACAAACAATACCAAATTACCACAAGCCACATTGATTCGCCAGGCCAAAGCGATCTCAATAGTGATTGAGCGAAAATTACCTATGGGTACGTTGTTTAGGCCAACTGTTCCTAGTCAGCTTTTATGTATTTTTTCGTAATCCGCCTGAACAAACACTAGTTAAAAGCCTTTCGGCTGTCGATACTGTTGTGTTTGGTCTAAGCGTACGAATGCCACGAGCGACTCTTGCTTAACCCTCAACGACAACGCGGAGAGAGAACCCAGGTTTAGACACAGTCAGCGTGTATTCTTCGATAAGTTATCGATATGTCAAAAAATACAGAACTAATCGTGCATACGAAGACGGCGCAGTGACGCACCAATCAGATAGTGTCCTTGACATATCGATTGATCGATTGGACAAACATTGGCTGATACGTTCTGTGATCATCCAATCAGGTTCAGCTTGTCTGGAGCGTTGCGAGCGTGCGTGTGGCCTGACTCGGAGGCGTGCGCGATCGAACGGGTTGCTTAAGCTCCGTCCTCACACCTCCCCCTTTTGAGCTCGACGGCTGGTCGCTTCGCGCCCCACTAATTTCGCCTGAGTGATGCCTTATATAAAGTCGCTCAGCTTCAATGATCGCTTGCTTCCCGTTCGGTGTTTGTAGCGCTTTCATCCTTACATTTTTCATTATTTGTCACCCTTGCTTCCACTAAAAGGATGTACTATCTCGTCAGTTTCATATCATTCCCACTTCATCAGTCTGTGTCACTGCGCATCTTTTTCTGCCAGTAGGTGGGCTTTACCATCAACATAAAGTGAGCCAAGTCTCTCGATTGAACTCCATATGCGCTCTAACTCAATGTCCTGATTCAGCGATAGCCAAACACCGGTTTTCTCCACGATGGTATTTTTGTTTTATTACATGTGTATATGTATACTACATCCTCACTTTGGTTTACCTTAATCATATAATCATCTTATCCTTCACTGATCTTAACGAAAATGGTTTTCACAATTGTATGTATTTGTGCACCTGCTTCAGGCAAGCGACGTAATGAGGATAGCGAACCGTTTGATTCGAGACAGCCGTCGCTTATCATCATTCCACGTCGACCGAACGAGGGTCTCCGACCAGTTTTCGATCGTTCTGAGGTGAGTGAAGTTCTTTCATTTATTCTGTTTTGATCAGAGAAAATGCTCGTTAATTTTGGGTGAATTTATAAGTTGATTGTCCTGTGACGCACTTTTGAATGAGCTGATTTACCGATTCGAGTGACGGCTAGTGTTTTTCTCGGTTTCTTTCGCGTCAACATGTTAACGATTGTTTCAATAATGCTCCATGGTACTTGTTCACTTGAGTCCATCGCGAAGACTGCACTCTGATGTGGCGTGAAAGCGTGAGCGTCTGTGAGACTCAACGAGCTACACAGATAAGCGTTTATCAAGCCAAAAACTCTTACCATGCCTGAGAGGTCGAACGGTAAAAGTCAAACGAAGTTCTGTCTCTTGGTCCTCCAGGTTGGGTGTGTGACTCAATTTGGTGTCTCAGTCAGTTGAGTGGTGGAGGAGTAATCTATCCCAGAAACCTTGTCTCCATTGCGCTGCTTTCACTGCCCTGCGATTATGCCTTGTTAGAACTAGAGGCTTGATTAAGAACCGGAACAACATCGTCACTTGCTCTTTTATCCGCGCGCATCATATATTGTGAATAATTTCGTCAGCGACGCACTACCTCACTGTCCACCAAGCTGTTCCTTCTTTGACATCATACGAGTAGATGGTCTTATTTTATTTTATTTTTAAACACATCGGAGTTCATACTAGCCATCTCCCTTAGGTGTACTGTTAGTGGTTCACCGACCCAGTTATAGCCCCGAGTGTTGGCTTTTCGTCCTCTCACTTTGGTGAGGAAACATCTCTTCCACGGGAAGGCAGTAAGGCTTCCTCAGTGGGAGCTGTTAGAGACGCTTGGTCGTATAGGACCATTTCGTGAGTTGCAGGTCAAGGGTAACCGGCCACAACTCAAGACAATCACCCCAAATAATACAGAGGCTTTTGGAGGCCCTCCAGTCCTTGGGGGATAAATTGATGGCTAGATTCGGGTAAACCGGTTCCATGCTTCTCTTTATTCCAATCACGGTAGTTGTAAGGTTTTGGCCTACGAAGGGCCACGTTTAACAAAAAAAATCAATGGATACATTGTGTTTCACGAAATCTCATTTTAGTTTTAATTCTCTGCTCATTTTGTGGGAGCTGTGCAAGTTTTCATGAGAGCTTTGAAAAGTTTGTCTTCCTTGTTTACAAGAAAGTTTTCCTGTGACATCTGGATTTGTACGAATTATTTTCATTTGTTCTTTTAAATGGATTATCGCTGTTTCCTCTTCCGATGTTGGTGAGTACGTTGATCCGTCCATCGGGACAATGATTAGGAAAATACTTCTGCTTTAATCGCGCTGCTGTTCATCTGACTCAAACTAGGCTACTCGGTCACTTGGTTGGGTCAAAACGTCAGACGTAACTTGACAGCGTGTTGTAAACAGTGTTTGTTCTTTCCGACGTCATGGGTGGTAAAGTACAGCGACCACCAAATGATGATCAAAGTCTACTAAACGAGAGAGAAAACCCATCCGATCGATCAAAGGAAAGAAAAGATGCATTAAATGATGTTGAAGTAGAGTTTTACTACTGACAGCCGTATTCGGTATTGATGAGAACATGAACTGAATGTCAGATGTTTACCAAAATGACCCCTTTGCATTTTGAGGGCGTTTTTTGGATACTGTCACATTGGTCTGTAGTAAACTGTTTTGATTGGTTGTTAGTCGTTTTCACTCTACAGTAAGCTGAAAACTCATATCTTCATCTCACAACGATTGCTTACATTGTAGTGTGCGACATTCTTGGAGACATTCCGTTTGCGTATTGAGCAAAGTCAGGGTTTTAAATTTTGTTATCAACGCAATCGATGTACAAATGGGTACTAATCACAAAAAGGGCTCGCGATCTTTCCGTTAGGATACCTAGTTAAATGAGAATTTGACAAAAAACGATTAGAGTTAGCGCTGCAATGTCACTTTGTGTGAGAATTGGTTAAGTATAAACGTTTCAGTTGATCATAATGTCAACTTCAAGATTCGTCTCGTTATACGAATGATTCTGAATGTTGTTTCTAGTTTGCTCCCGTACTGTCTATTATTTCCCTCACTCTGGCAGATCTCTCATCCCTACTTTTATCTCGCTCCCTTTTTATCAGATCAAGTTCTATCTGAGCGTAATCGATGAGGCGGAAATTTCGAAACGTTTGCTCAATTGTGTTTCCACAACGGCTAGCTCATCCAGGTACGGTTTTTGGAGGACAATCTATGGTTAACCTAATATGCGTAATTGTTTTCCACGTTTCGTTTTTCAATACGTGCTTTATTCGATTTGAAGAGCTCCCATTTACCAAATTCGACTTCTTGATCTCGTGCCGTCACCGTTGCTTTAGTTTGTTTTATTTACCACAGCGACTAACCTAATCGTGTGGCGCTGCCATACCTTTTGCGTTCAAGAACCGTTCTACGTAGTGTTACGAATTTCAGGAGCACAGAAGCGCTCAATCAATGGGCTGCCATTCTGCGGATGCTTTCGTGCACTGTTGTGCACCGGTTTTGATTACTGTATTCTTGCCACCCGTTCTTATAAAAGGTGGAATGAATATTGGAGTGTTGAAGACATTCAATGAGAAGATAAGGACATCACATGCACTGGCTTTGTGAGAGTAAATGCACGAGCGACTTTCCGCCATATCACTCGGTGTCTCTAATCAACGGGTACCATAGCAAGAATGTTCCCATCCACGGAGCCTGACGGCACCCATGTAACCCAATGTTCTGATTAGAGTTTTCACACTCTCATGCCAGGTCTTAGTTTCACCACCCTTGACCGTTTCCCATCCGCTCCTTGCTCGCGTGCCAGCCTATTTGGTGACATGCGCAATATATGTCTCAACCACCGCGGTCGATGGAATTCGACTATTTGCTCCACGGAACGACCACGATTACCTAAACCTCTGCGCCTGACGTCAGCATTGCTCGTCTGGTTTCCCCACCAGATTCGTGCAACACTGCGTGGATAGCCGTGTTCGAGAGCTCCACTTCGAATTTGGATGCGCATTCACTGTTGTCATTGTATTGCTTGCATCCGATCGGTGGTGTTTCATTGGTCTTTGACCAGACTTGGCGATAATCTGGCTCGTTGCGCAACGTGGTCCGTGTTCGTAGGTATTGAACATTGAAGTCGGCCGTTTTGAATAGATCTTCTGATTGCGATGCAGTCTGTTTGAGTTCATCACTAGGAAGGGTTAGACATATTCCACGGAAGGCGGTGTAGTTTCTTTTGCGCGAAATTGCAGCTTTACATCAACAGTCCATGGTCTGCGCAAAGTTGGATTAGGCATTCTGCATTGTCCGTCCGATTAGCTGAGATTCCATGTGAACCACCAAGAGGCCTTTCTGATTCCTCCTGGGGTCTCGCTTGAACATTGAAGTCACTAGCCAGTGCCGTGATGTCCTTCGATCGAGCATTTTGGAGCAGCTCAATGAGGTGTTTTTAGAATTAACCCTTCGTTTCTGGCCAACTATAATCGATTGGCGCATACCCGGATAAAGCAGACACTCTAGTCTGATAGCTGTTGACCCGTACTGAACCACCCAGAAGTACAGCACACAGCCAGCTTCCAACCGGAAGCCAGCAAAATGTGAACGCACGGCCTCGAAACATGTCGCAATCCCAGCGACACCGCAAGCTTCGGATACCGAATCGTCTGGCACACGGAGAGTGAAGCATAAGAACGAGGTCGGATCTGTAGATCACAAGGTGATGATTCAAGTAGGGTCTTGTATGCGTGTCTCGGAGACACAGCATACATCGTAGTGGAAAGTTTCAAGGGTTCTGGCTGAAACGGCTTGTTGACCGATGCGATAGAGTTTGCGGCTAAGTGAAAAGGAAATTTTGTTTCAAAACTCTCATAGATTGTGGTTAGTTGACCTTACTGGGTGAATGCTGATACCCCATGGGTGGTGTAAACAGGAGATATCTCCTAAAATTCGGGAGTGAGAGGAAGAACTGGACAGATGAGAAAGGAGGTTATCAGATGGGTAACGAAGACTTTGGGGCATGACGTACTTCGCAGTTGCTCACATCGACTAATGAGTTTCTCCTTGGGAAATCTGACCAGAGCTTTTGACTCGAGAATCTAACCCACAAGGCAGTGGGGCGTAGATCCAATGTGGGAGCGTGACCGAAGTACCAGTGTGGGAGCTTATAGAGACCTGTCACGCCAGGTTTTTGGGTTTCGGTTCAGTGTGTTGTTCGCTGGTGCATTGATTGTCGATTCGCTGTTCGGAACTGGTCCTTAGTCTCATGCACCAAATGAGATAAGCGGAACATGGACGGGACAGCAGCTTATGGGAAGGGGATTGCCCAACTCGGGCGGGCGGTGGCTGTGTAATGAAGTGCGAAGACTTTTCCCACCGTCGAGAGGAAGCCCCAGGCACCTCATTCCTAAGTCCATCGAGCGAGAGGGGGGGGGGCGTTAACCGGTAGACTGCGCTTCTCTGTCTCGATTCGCGGGAGTGACCTGTCCAGGAGCGAGCTCGGATAGACAAAGGAAGCCAGGATGTGCCCAATTGGCTGACCTTATGAGACTGAGCTTCGTCAATCTTCTGCCCATTGACGTTTCAGGCATCACAAGATCTGCAGCTTTGATGAGCCATCCTGTATAGGCTACCAGGGTCATGGAGTCGCGCAACCAATCACACTACTTTTATGTGCAGTTTCGT